GGCAGCTCTGTTCTGCGGCAGCGAAGAGAGACAATCGAGATGCCAAGACGTTTCGCGCCTGCCCGTTTATATGCAGCTCTCGCGAGAAAGATTCGCGGAGAGGATAATGCGGCGTAGAGTCGGCGACACAGAAGACCCCTGCGTATTCTGCTTTCCGCTAGCGAGTCAGACGATCGACCGTGTATCTCCGGTCCGCTGGCTGAAAAGCGGCGGCCGATTTCTTCTCTTTTTCGCGGGCCGGCGCGCGAGCAAACGCGGTCCGCTTCGGGTTCTCTTATTTGGCGGTCCTGGCCGAACCGAGAACGGATCGAAGGACGAACACGAGCAGCAGCGAGAAACCAGCCGAAGAAAGACGACGAGACATCGAACGAGAGGAGGAGAATCAAAAGGGGGATGGAGACGAAGGAACACTACTCTCCCGCTTACTCCACCTCCTGGACCTCTTCCTTTCATGCGAGCCGGCCCGTTAATCCTCCACGGATCCCGCCAGGATCCCACGGAGATGCACCGAGGGAATTTGCATACAAGATCTTCTGGCATCTCCCCCTCTTCTGGACAGCCTCTTCTCCGTCTCGTTCGCTTGGCTTAGACGATCGACACATGTGCCTCTCGCTCCGAGTCGCCATCGCGACCCGCTATTCCCTCCACTTTTTCGCTACTTTTTTTAGCCCGCGACTCACCCCTACTCGCGGGGGAACTTTGTCCTCCGTGTGACAAGGTCCCTGCCGATTCACCGGAGAACAATGGAACTTGCGACCTTGGACGGTCAAGAAGTTTCGGATCGCATAAATTCGTTGCTTGAATTTGTTAACTTTCGTATAACGTTATTTTGCAATATTAAACGTTAGAATTCTTGAAAGGAATCGTTTTGAAAAATCATCAGCAAAGTACACCCTTGAAGCCGCGAGACAGGCGATAATAACGTCGCACCAGCACAGCTACGTCAGCTGGGGATGTATATTTTCATAATGTAATATCGTTGCGCCACTTAGGGGTGGACTTTCTTTTCTGGAAGGGTGGTCGTCGAGCGGATGCCACGCACAGCGGGCGTCAACAGGAGGGAGATCCGTGGGAAGAGGGGGCAGGGAGACGCAGGAAGACGGGGGTGGAAAATGCGTGGAGGGTGTTTTGCTGGTAATTGGTGCCAATTTAATCCTGCCCTTCGCCCGACGTAGCCTGTATTAACGGTAAGGGAGGAACGGGAGCCGACTAGGGTGGCCGATTCGCCCAGAGTTTCGCCCGCACCCTTCCCACGCGGCGGTTCCGAGCCACCCCTTATCCACCGCGTTGTTCCACGACGAAAACACGCACGCAGTCACAAGCGGGGTAAACGCGAGTCTCGCCACGCCACGTGCTTTCACGCCGGGAACAGGGATGAGTGGCAGAAACGCGCAAACAGAGGGCTGGCTACTGGGTGTGCGTGTGTTTGCGCGCTCGTGAGAGCCCGCTACGAAAATATAATTAACGGTAATCGCCCGCGTATATGGCTCGGATTAACTTCGGAAGGGAACCGTCACATTCTTCGGGGTTATCGAATGAGTTTTCCTTAGGGATTACCGACAGATCTCAGACCTTTGTTCGATGTGGCTTCCGGAAAATTGCCCAAGAAAAATGTGATCGAGTAATTCGTTGCAATAAAACGCGCGGTAATATAACGCGTGGTACTGTAACACGTGGCAATATAACGCGTGGGAATATAACGCGTGGCAATAAAACGCGTGGAAATATAACGCGTGGTAATATAACGCGTGGTACTGTAACGCGTGGCAATAAAACGCGTGGGAATATAACGCGTGGTAATATAACGCATGGTACTGTAACGCGTGGCAATATAACGCGTGGTTGTATAACGCGTGGTTGTATAACGCGTGGTAATATTCGATCGTTGTTGCATGAAACTAGCTGGAGGTGAATCTCAAAGTCTTCGAATTTCCTCGTTTCTAGCTCTAATTTGCAGCTTGAATTATTATAAAATTTTGAACCTCGCTTAAAGAAAAACTTTGTCAGAATGTATCCCGTGAATTATTCATCGAGAATTATCGGTAATTTTCCAGAGACGCAGAGGCTTAGAAGTATCGCGTGACGCTCGCGGTGCAGCGGCGCGTCGACGCATCGGATCACGGAAACGAAGAAGAAGAAAAAGACAAGGACGTCGTCGACGAACGCGGTTTACCAACACGGATGGGCGGTTCCAAGGCGAGCAATGCCACGTGCTGCAATTGGTCGAACGACTCGTTACACTTATCGTTGCGTAGCTCGCGAGCGTGGGTTTGAAAGGCGCGCGTGTGACGAGCCGCCTTCGGAAACGCATGCTACTGGATGCGTTGTGGGAACGCGGTTCCGTGCGCCATTTGCATACTATATTTTTATTCACGCAGAAAAAGAACTTTCGTACTGTCAGATATATCAGACGTTACCCCATTTTTTAAGAGAATTTAATACAAAAGCTACAGCAACCAAAATTTTAATAAGTAGCCACTGATCATAAAGGAATACGAATTGTGCAGCATTAAAATTAGTCTAATATGAAATATCTATACTGATGAAAAAAAAATTCATATGATAAAAATTCTATACCAAGATAAAAATAAAAATTCCATAACAAGATAAAAATTTCATACGATATTAAAATTTAATATGGAAGAAAAATAAATAGTTTGCAAGCATGGCAATAATGAAACGAAGTGAATGTCGCGAATTCCCGCCATGATCGTAGCGATGGTTGAACAGGTCCAATAAACGGTTCCCAAGAAACCGACACCATCCCGGCGATATAATCGGCGCCTGTCCTCGCGATTATCGTTCCAGGGACAGGGTGTGCCAGGGTGTCTTGTATCGCGTTACGTACGTATCATCTCCGTGCGCTGCGTGTAAAAAAGGGGAAAGAGGAAGAGAAAGTGAAACGTAGATGCGCGAAAAAGAGAGAGAGTATATAAACGGAAGAGGAGAGAAGAGGGATAATTTATTATGCTGTCAGTATGTCGCTCACAATGACCACCTCCTCGATTTTAGTGACACGCCGATTATCGTCGCGGCCGATCTCAGCCGATCATCGTTAGCATGAATAACGTGACAATGGTAATCCCTTTCGTGAAAGTGCTAACGGCCATATACGTGCCACGACACCAGATGTCGTCCTGAGAATGTAGAAGAGATCGCGGACCCTCGAGATGAAGAAGGAGAAGCGGGAGGACATTCACCACGGGCCGAGACACGTGGCGTGTACGCTCGTCACGAGCTTCTAAAAATATTTTGCGGTACACGTGGAAAAAGTGACAAAAACGCATTTACCCTACGGACACACATAGCACTATACTATAATTATTTATACATTTGTAAAAATTTATGTACCTCAAAAATTACATCTACCTAAGAACCTCAAATTTTGCGCCTTTCAATCAAATAGACAATAAGTAGTATTAAATAAAATTTGAACCTAAAGATACTGAGCTACCCCTAAGACATGTACGTAAATTTTGCGCCTCTCAATCAAATAGATAATAAGTAGTATTAAATAAAATTTGAACCTAAAGATACTGAGCTACCCCTAAGACATGTGCGTAAATTTTGCGCCTCTCAAATAGATAAGTAGTATTAAATAAAATTTGAAACTAAAGATACTCAGCTACCCTTAAGACATGTACGTAAATTTTGCGCCTCTCAATCAAATAAATAATAAGTAGCTTTAAATAAAATTTGAACCTAAAGATACTCAGCTACCCTTAAGACATGTACGTAAATTTTGCGCCTCTCAAATAGATAAGTAGTATGAAATAAAATTTGAACCTAAAGATACTGAGACACCCTTAAGCATGTACGAACAACCCCAATTCATCAAATAATCGTAACAGTAATATCGATAAAATCAACTCGGAAGCATCGTCGGAAAACTGATTTTCTGAGAGCCGTCCAGGGATAAACAGAGGGTTGTAAAAGGGCGATGGCGATATAGAGAGTAGAAACATTCTCCGCCGCGTTCTCGAGGTAAGAATCCCTCGACGTTCCCCGGAGGCGACGAGGTACTCTCGAACCACTTTTCAAGGGTTGATCGCGGGCCGAATCGTTGCTGGGGTCGAAAGAGGCCGGCGAAGGAGTCTAGAACGCGGCTCGAAAACCGGGGGTGGTTTTCGGGGATGGAAAGTGGCCCCGTTACAAGTTTTACTGCAGTTTTGCGGCTCGGAACAGCGAGCGCGTAACGGCCAGGCAATTGAATTTAAATATTCAATTATGCGATGTGTAAATGAAATAGAAGTCTTATGCAAATCGCTACACGCGCCGAGGGTTGTTGCAAATTTAAAGGGTTAAATATTTATTAGCGGAGGGTTAACCGAGATTTATGACTGCCTGGCCGCTTCTCCTAATATTCTACTATTAGGTGCTACTGTTCCTTCGGGAGTTTTGCTTCTCTTGATGATCGATCGCATTCCGCTTTTCTCATATGTGGAGGGGTGTATGATCAAATACACACCTATGGATTAATTACGCGGAAATTCGAAATTATATTTAAATTGAAATTATACTTCTTCCAAGTCCATTTCTCAAACCCGTAAATTTCCCAAAATTCTCAACGCACAATTTCCCAAATTAGCTTTCGAAGTACCCAAACTTATATCTTATATCTCTACGACCTAAAAGGCACGATGCGTCTATAAAGTCGATAAAGTTTCATATCAATTAATCTTTCGCGATCGTAATGGTTGTGTTGATCGTTTCAAGAACGAGCATAGTAAAGTTTAGCCGGCTTGACGATCGGCGGGTGATCAAGAGAGAAAGACGTCCCTTGTTCGAGCTCGAGGATGACCGCGATTCGGTCGAATTTAATTAAAGCAATCGCAATTACGAGGACGACGATGAGGACGATGATGAGGAGGAGGACGACGACGACGAGGCAGTAGGCAATCGGTCCGCGTTATCTGCGAGCATGGTTGACGCTCGTCCAGGTCGGCGTTGACGCTTTAATTAAAAAGGACACGAAGGTGTTCTGCATGCACAGGGAAAGGAGCTAGAGGCTCTATCTCGAGCGGAGATCTCGTGTCGGTATATCGGTGTTTCTCATGGAAATTACCAGAGGCAATGAAATATTATTCTCTCTTGTTCGTATCTTTTCATTCTTCTCATTTTTTTTAACTCAACAAGGCTAACATTTATTTATAATGAAAATACGTTGATTGAGACAATAGTTTAAACAAGTATCATTATCGGTAATATATTATCGCTATGTAATGCTAGTCGTATACAATGTTCGGTCGAGTGTTTCCTTTTCTTATTACCATTTTCTTTTAATTCGTGTGTCGCCCTCTTTTTTTAATCTCCGTCGTTTTCATTCGCTTCTCCGTTTTCTCCGAATTGTTTCTTAAGCCTACAGTAAAAGTTGTAATCGTAAACACACATACATGCACAAATCTGTCCGTCGACGCGTACGAGAACTCTCTTTCTCCCCCGGCGCGCGTCTATAATTATGCACCTCGGTTAATTGAAACAGCGTGTGCGTGTTTGTCGCTCGATATAGGTACGTCTGTGTATGTGTGTGCGTGTGTGTGAATGCGTGTACGTGTCTCTCTCTTCGTGTCTCTGGTACCGGAGTGTCCGTACGTGATTCATAAACCCCCGACGAAACGTATTCTTCGATCCTTGCATCTCGCTTCGCGTGCTGAATATTTCTAACAACCGCGACAAACGTAATTCTACGGGAAAAATTAAAGTCGACATTTTTGTAGAACGGATCTTAGGTTGCGTTTAGATATTCGAGGTAATTTTTGCGGATTTTATCGAACAAATTATTAATGCACGCTAGATAAGTGAACGCGGGATTCGTGACATTCGAATGGAGCGTTCAAGCGTTTAATATGGTGAATTAAATAATGTCGAAATGAGTACAGTGGAATTGAATCGCGGGTAACGAGTGGAATTGAATCGAATGGAATTGAAAGGTGTGGAATTGAAATGTGATAAATTGAACCAAATTGGAATTGAACTACGTAGAATCGAATTAACTGGAATTGAAGCAAATAGAATTGATTCAAGTAGAATTGAATCAAGCAGGTTTGAATTTTGTGGAATTGAATCAAGTAGATTTGAATCTTCTACTTCAAGTAGAATTGAATCAGGCAGATTTGAATCTTGTTGAATTGAATCAAACAAAATTGATTAAAGTAGAATTGTATTAGGTAGAACGCAATCAAGTAGAATTGAATCTTGTGGAATTGATTAAAGTAGAATTGAGTCATGTGGAATTGATTAAAGTAGAATTGAGTCGTGTGGTATTGTTTCAAGTATAATTGAGCCAGGCAGAATTGAATATAGTAGATTTACATTTTGTGAAATTGATTCAAGTAGAATTGAATCAGGTAGAATTGAACAAGTAGATTTGATTCTTGTGGTACCAATTCAAGTAAAATTGAATCAGATAGAAGTGAATCAAGTAGAACTGAATCAGAGAGAATTGAATCTCGTGGAATTCAGTTGCGTGGTATTGAATTGCATGGAACTGAATCGCGTGAAACTTAATCAAGTAGAATTGAATCAAATGCAATAGAATCAAGTGGAATTGAATTAAGTAGAATTGAATTAGGCAGAAATGAAATGCGTGAAATTGAATTGCGTGGAGTTGAATCACGTAGAATTGAATCTTATGGAAATGAATCTTGTGGAATTGAATCTCGTGGAATTGAATCTCATAGAATTGAATCTCGAGGAATTGAAATGCGTAGAATTGAAACGCGTGGAATTGAATCTTGTGGAATTGAATCTCGTGGAATTCAATCGCGTAGAATTTAATTACATAAAATTGAATTGCGTGGAATTGAATCTCACAGAATTGAATCGCGTGGAATTGAATCCCATCAAATTGAATTGCGTGGAATTGAATCCCATCGAATTGAATTCCGTCAAATTGAATCTCACTAACTCGAATCGCCCCAAACCGAATCACATCGAATTCACACCGAATTGAATTTCATAAAATTATATTTCATCGAATTGAATTACACCGATTTGAATCACTCGTCAATCCAAACGCATCCTTACACGCGTCCTACCAACTCCACCGAAGAAATATCGATCGAAGAATTAATAAAACAAAAGCACGCGAACATTAGCGCAAACCGATTCGATCACGGTTACAAATATCATGATGATCGAAAAATGAAAAATGTATCGAACCGTTCCATAACCGTGATCGAGTCGTGCAACGACGCAAGAAGCGATTTACAGGAGAAAAAGAACAAACCGAATTAGTTCCGATTAAACCGATCATCAATGAAAACGCGATATGATCCGCAACGAATCGCCTTGTTCTCGTCTTCTGATCGATCGACCAACTGATCGATTAAGTACACAGTTCGAGCGCACGCTCTGCACCTATGGCACTATTTATTCACGTTAGCTTCGTCTCGCGAACACGCTCGACAAGATGCACCGCTACGCATCCAGCGGCTCGATAAGCGTAATTCAAGCGAATTTTCTCGGCGGACGGTCGAGCGTTTTAAGTACATGCTTTAAGAGAACTCGTCGAGAGAGAGAAGAACGCGGAAACGGTCGAACGAGAGAAGAAAATGAAGAAAAGAAGGAAGCATACGCGTCGCGCGTTTCGTCTCGTAATCAACGTCATCGTAATAATATACAACTAACCCGGCTAAGTCTCGTAAACGTAACAAGTAAAAAGGCGATTCGTGCTCGCGCCTTATGGAAGACAAACGCAACAAACAAGAACGGAACAATCGCAAAAAACACGTAAAAAATGTACAATTCGCGCGGTGAACGAACAAGAAGAAGAAGAAACAAAACGGTTACATTATACGCTGGAGAACGTGTGGTCGCCTTTACACCTGCGTCCACGCTACATCGTTATCTTCTTATATAGCCAATTTAGCAAATTTACCAATTATCGACTGTCGATTCATATCAGATTTATAACACCGTTGTCACACGTCGTTTATCACCATTCCATTATTAACCCTCGGATGCAGGATCATATTGAACCATCTACTGAAATCAAATTTGCATACGTACTTTATAAATGCAATATATACTGCTCAAAGTTATGACATGATTTTTAATGACACTCGTTGAAATATTAGGTTTGACTGAATTTATTACGCAAACATTTCTAACGTGTGTATGTGAAGAACGTGTATCTTGTCACATGTTACCTTACTCTTCAAGCAGTATACGTATGTGTACATATACATTTACCTATTTTCACGTGTATATGCAGTAGAAAATATCTTTCAAATATTGTACATAATTCAGTCTTCTAATTGTATATAATTGTGGATTAAAATGACCCTGCACCATGTGTTAATCCTAGAACTGACGTGAACCTATGGCAGCACTTTGCATATGCAATTTTTAATATGTACAAATTCTGCACAAAAACATATATATACAATATTTCAGACACGTAAACACAATAGAGAAGTAGTCAACAAGAAAGTCTTCGATAATCCACATCAGTTCTCGGAATAAAATGCCACTGTTACGAAGCTAATTTTCAAACTTGAACAAAATTGTGAAATAATTTTCTATTTTGCCCACATAATGATTCAATCCGTCCGAGAGTTAATAACGAAATGCAAAATCAAATACAAACTTGTTACAAATTAACGAACTATCGCTAGGCTGCGGATGTTCATACTTATAAAAACCAACTCGAATTAAAATAAATCAAATGCAAAGAACCTTAGAAAAATATCTGTACAAACACTCACAGTCTAGTTCTAAAACTAAAGATATAATTTTGTTATATAGCATAGACGCGGTACGTTCTCCGAATCTCATCCATATCCGTGTATCTCGATGCTTCGACACTCCACCGTGTGTCGTTTCCATATTGTGGGGTAAGGTCGAAAGCCGAGAGAGCCTAGTTCCAAGGTCTCTCGGCCCTAGGTTCGGCACTCGTAACTAGGGTTCCGACCGACCGGTGCCGAAGCCCACCTTCCGATCTCCGTACACCCTTGTCCTTCTCCTTCTTAAGCGATTCGTTCTCTGATTCTAATCTGGCCGCCATGTCGGCCAAGCGAATCTTACGATCCGCCGAGCGGGAAGGAGGAGCCTCGTGGCGATCCTCTGGACTGGTGCCCTTTGCCCTTCACCCTGTTTCCGTGTTACGTACCTGTCTCGTGCAGGGCCAACATTCGTTCCCCGTGGACCCTTCGCGATCTACGCGTCGTGTTTCATCCCTGTCCCGTATCGTGCGACGTGTACGTGGCCATATGTGCGTGTTGGTGCGTACACCGGTGTACCGTGTAGTCCGCAAGCGGACACTCGCCAAGCATCTCGGTCGAAACGCTCGCGCGTGTCCGCGTGTAAGAGTCCCGTGCTATGCGTTTCACGAGTATGTGTGTGTGTCTGTTCGTGCGTCTTATGTACACGCGAGTGTCGGTGTTGTTCGGTTCGCGTGTAGGAAATGCTAATGTGTTCCAGGGTCAAGAATATGTACAAATTCTGCACAAAAACATATATATACAATATTTCAGACACGTAAACACAATAGAGAAGTAGTCAACAAGAAAGTCTTCGATAATCCACATCAGTTCTCGGAATAAAATGCCACTGTTACGAAGCTAATTTTCAAACTTGAACAAAATTGTGAAATAATTTTCTATTTTGCCCACATAATGATTCAATCCGTCCGAGAGTTAATAACGAAATGCAAAATCAAATACAAACTTGTTACAAATTAACGAACTATCGCTAGGCTGCGGATGTTCATACTTATAAAAACCAACTCGAATTAAAATAAATCAAATGCAAAGAACCTTAGAAAAATATCTGTACAAACACTCACAGTCTAGTTCTAAAACTAAAGATATAATTTTGTTATATAGCATAGACGCGGTACGTTCTCCGAATCTCATCCATATCCGTGTATCTCGATGCTTCGACACTCCACCGTGTGTCGTTTCCATATTGTGGGGTAAGGTCGAAAGCCGAGAGAGCCTAGTTCCAAGGTCTCTCGGCCCTAGGTTCGGCACTCGTAACTAGGGTTCCGACCGACCGGTGCCGAAGCCCACCTTCCGATCTCCGTACACCCTTGTCCTTCTCCTTCTTAAGCGATTCGTTCTCTGATTCTAATCTGGCCGCCATGTCGGCCAAGCGAATCTTACGATCCGCCGAGCGGGAAGGAGGAGCCTCGTGGCGATCCTCTGGACTGGTGCCCTTTGCCCTTCACCCTGTTTCCGTGTTACGTACCTGTCTCGTGCAGGGCCAACATTCGTTCCCCGTGGACCCTTCGCGATCTACGCGTCGTGTTTCATCCCTGTCCCGTATCGTGCGACGTGTACGTGGCCATATGTGCGTGTTGGTGCGTACACCGGTGTACCGTGTAGTCCGCAAGCGGACACTCGCCAAGCATCTCGGTCGAAACGCTCGCGCGTGTCCGCGTGTAAGAGTCCCGTGCTATGCGTTTCACGAGTATGTGTGTGTGTCTGTTCGTGCGTCTTATGTACACGCGAGTGTCGGTGTTGTTCGGTTCGCGTGTAGGAAATGCTAATGTGTTCCAGGGTCAAGGAGCTCCGAGGAGCTCGAGGCTTGTATGGTCCGGGCACCAGCTGGGGAGCTCGTGTTCGGCTCCTCCTCTCCTGCCTCCACATTCGTTTTCATCGAGCTTTCATTTTTTTTTCAGCAGAATTTTCAAGGGTTATTAAGTACGGGGATTGGGGGTGGACCTCGCGCGCCCTGCCGGCCAGGACTTGTACCTCACACAACTCCCTAGTTACGAGTACCGAGACCTAGTGTGGTGAAGATAGGGGTTTCTTTTTTAGATCGCGTACGGCTTCTGGGCATCTCGCTCTGCTTCGTCGGTTTCACGCTGAACCCTGCTCGATACAGCCCGATAGATCGCCGCAGGATAATTGAAAACAACAGTTGAAAATTGTCCGTTTTTAATAATCGATCTATCGGTGTATGTCGAGCAGGGTGAAGATAGTCGCTCCGCTTTTAGTTAGCTAACTCCTTCGTGTCCTTTTCTCGTTAATCGCGCTCGCCCGTTAATCGAAGCTACTAATAAATTAAAAACTAGATGATCGTACGTCTAACTTCGCTAAACGATTATCACGATAATCAGTGGATCCACGCACTTTTTCACGCGCACACTCTCTCCGGCGCGGCTCTTAAATTAGAAGAACTCGAACAAGTACCCGCTTTTAAAAATAGACACAAAAGTTCATCTCGTCACGCGTAATAAGCCTTACAATCTATTACGTATATCCTGATCACGATTAATAATTCTCGGTTCGCCGGCGATGAATCGCTCGCGACCACGTCTTCGTCCTTTTCGTTCGTCCTCATCCGCGTGTCTCCCGAACGCGTCTTTCCACCTATTTTTCCTCTTTCCTCTCGATCAACAAACTATTTAGAAAATCGCGGACCTACCTATCGCGCGATACCGATCATAATTCGCGTTTCGAGGGAGTTTCCGTATAATGAAAAAGATGGGGTCGTAAAACGACCTCGTGTCCTCGTAAAACGACCCCCCGAACAGGGGGTGATCGTAAAAAACGCATAGTCAAATTCGATAAACTCCTAAAACGGAAACCTAAACGGACCACGACCTACATCGATCTATCGCGATATCGACCGCGTATTCCTCGCCCGACAACCTCTCCTCCGGCACCCCGTGTCGCCCTGCGGAGACGCGGCCGTTTAATGCCCGTGTTTTGTTCGCGAATCCGCGCGCTGTGCCGCACCGCGAGAACAGACCTTGAAGGGAACAGAGGGGGAAGATAGATGAAGAAGATCGCGCGAGTGTGCCACGTGGCCAGCGGGCCACGTGCACCGCTTCCTTTGTCGAAGAGAAGCGAACGACCACGAAGAACGACCAAGCTGAATTGCATAAGACGTTCGCCGACTATAATAGCTCGTCGCGAGCCGATCGGGTTCTCGAAAAGACGGCCTGTCTCCTCGTTTGGAGGGGCGAGGATATTGGCGAACGTGTATCGAAAGCGGAACGAAAATCGATGTCATCGGACGGTGTCTGGCTCGAGACGAATTTAGAAGCATTCTTCCTCGCTAACACGACGCCGTCTTACGTAATTGACCAAGCCGATTCTCTCTGCTCGCCCGAGCCGGGCGAACGCTTCTCCCTTCGAGGAGGAACTTCGAGCGCGAATCGGCTCCGTGATCGAACGAGAAGACCTCGACGTAGAATATGAGTGACGTTTGAACGTGTGTAATTATGTACATACGATGTGAATTGGCTGCTGAGCAACGTTTTAACGGACAGTGAAAAGAAGAAAGTAACAGTGACAGAATGGTAGAGAGAAGCAAAAAAGAAGAGAGACAGAGAAAAAGAAACTGTTCGTGAATGATCTCAAAAGCCAGCCAAGTGCCAAACGAAGTAACACTCGTCCTCCGCTCGGAACAGTACGAGACACTGATCATCAACGTACTGGAAGTGCCGACAAGTAGCGCCAGTCCAACAATTCGCGGCCTAACCCGTAGAGAGACACTTCGGCCCACAAGACGCGTCGATCGTCCAACCCCCGAAGAAGCACGTGTCATCGGCGAGGACGTGTGCCCTCACACGCGGCTGGAGTAGTCACCTACCGATTATCCCGTTCCAGAAGAAACAGACAGACACACCAATAAACGAGCGGCTTCCTAACCGACTGGACGACGAACGAAGAGAGAGGTTCACCAAGAGGAGCCACGAGGGTGGTTGACCGAACAGTCGGCCAACGCACGGACTCGCGAGAGGATCGTAAGAAGAAGAAGAAGTAGAAGTAACGGTAGCAGACAAGTGGAAGAAGGGTGAATCGAAGTGGACGAGAGAGGAGCAAGGGTTGAGGGTGGTAGATAAGAAGAAAAAAGAAGAAAGGTCTCGCGGTATCGGCACGGAAGTCGCGTGGTCTATTACGAGCACGGGTATACGGCCGAGCTGATGCTGTGGTAGGCGGCGAGGGCGGCGTGCGCGTGCGCTGGGGGCGCGGATGCGGCTGCGTGCGGCGAGGTGGCCATCGCGGATGCCGCCGCGGCTGCCATCATCATCTGTTGGTGCGTACGCTTTAGGGAGTTGGGAGTTGTGGCGGCGCTACTTGGGGTAATAGCAGTAGTAGTGGTGGTGTTCGACTGC